TAAAAGAATACTCTGAAAGACTATATGCCACCAAATTCAATAACCAAGAAGAAATAGACATGTTCTTAGAAATATATCTTCCTAGACTGAATCACAAAGAGCTGGAAAATATAAATAGACCGATCAACAGCAAGAAAATTGAAACAATCATCAAAAGCCTCCCAAAAGGTAAAAAACCACAACCAAATGGCTTCACTAGTAAATTTCACCACACATCAAAGAAGATTTAATATCTACCCTTCTCCACGCTTCCAAAAAACTGAAGAACTAGCAATATTTCCTAACACATTTTATGAGGCCAACTTTACCCTGATACCAAAACCTGGCAAGAATAACACAAAACGAGAAAGCTACAGACCAATATCTCTGATGAATACAGATGCAAAAATCCTAAGTAAAACACTAGCAAATTGATTACAATACATTAAAAGATAATACTTCACAATCAAGAGGGGTTCATTCCAAAGGTACAAGGATAGTTCAACATATGCAAATTGACTTATGTGATATACCGCATTGCCAAAATAAAGAATAAAAGTCGTATGATCGTATTGCTAGATGCAGAAAAAGCATCTGACGAGATACATCCATTTACGCTTAAACCACTCAATAAAATGGGTATAGAAGGAAAGTACCTCAATATAATAAAGGCCATGTGACAAACCCTCAGCTAATAACACACTCAGTGGTGAAAAACAAAAAGCCTTTCCTCTAAGATCAGGAACAAGAATGTCCACTCTCACCACTGTTATTCAACATAGTACTAGAAGTCCTAGCCAGAGCAATCAGGCAAGAGAAAGAAATAAAAGGCATCAAATTGGGAATGAAGAAGTAAAGCTGTCACTTTTTGCAGACAACATAATTCTTTATATAGAAAATCCTCAAGAGTCCACCAAAAAAAAACAAAACAAAAAACATTTGAAACAATTAACAAATATAGTAAAGTTGCAGTATATAAAATTAATGTACCCAAATCCATTGCATTCCTGTATAATAACAATGAAATTTCAGAAAAAGAAATGAAAAAAAAAATTCCTTTTGCAATTACAACAAAAAGAATAAAATACCTAAGAGTAAACTTAAAGGATGTGAAGGACCTATACACTGAAACTACCAGATACTTTTAAAAGAAATTGAAGAAGACAGAAAGAAATGGAAAGATATTCCATATTCATGGATTGTAAGAATCAACATAGTTAAAATGGCCATAGTACCCAAAGCAGTATAAAGATTTGATGCAATCCCCATCAAAATCCCAATGGCATTTTTTAAAGAAATACAACAAAAAATCATCGGATTTGTATGAAACCACAAAAGGCTCCCAATAGTCAAAGTAATTCTGAGAAAAAAACACACTTCCTGACTTCAAATTATACTACAAAGCAACAATAATCAAAACAGCATGGTACTGGCAAAAAAAAAAAAACCCAACCAACAACAGAAACACAGACCTATGGAATAGAATTGAGAGCCCAGAAATATAACCACATGTATATGGGCAAATAATTTTCAACAAATAAGCCAAAAACATACAGTGGAGAACAGAAAGCTTGTTCAATAAATGGTGCTAGGAAAACTGGAAAGCCACATGCAAAAAATTAAACAGACTGCTTTTGTCCCCATATACAAAACTTAGTTCAAAATGATTCAAAGACCTAAATATAAGACCTAAAACAATAAATTACACAGAAGAAAACATAGCTACTAAAGTTATGGCCCTTGGTCTTAGAGAGGATTTTATAAATTTAACCTCAAAGGCAAGGGAAGTAAAAGCAAAAATAAATGAATGGGATTGTATCAAACTAAATAGCTTCCGCCCTGGCTGGTTTGGCTCAGCGGTTAGAGCGTCGGCCTGCGGTCCTGAGAGACCCAGGTTCGGTTCCCGCTAAGGGCGTGTACCTCTGTTGCAGTTTGTCCCCGGCCCTGGTTGGTTGTGCGGGTGGCAGCCACTCGATGTGTCCCTTTCACATCGATGTTTCTCTCTCTCCCCCCCCCCCACAACTCTACCTGAACAAAAAATGGAAAAATGTCCTTGGGTGAGGATAAAAAAAAAACCAAACTAAATAGCTTCTGTACAGAAACCTTCAACAAAACAAAAAGGCAACCAACCAAATAGAAGATATTTGCAAACAACACCTCTGATAAGGAATTAGTCCCCTGCCCCCCCAAATATAGAAAAAACTCATACAACTCAACAACAAAAAACAATCAATCCAATTTGAAAAAACAGACAGGGTTTGGCTGGTTACAGCATCATCGTGATACACCAAGGTTGTAGATTTGACCACCAGGCAGGACATATACAAGAATCAACCAATCATAACTAAGTGGAACAACAAATCTCTCTCTAATCAACAAATAAATTTAAAAAATTTTTATAAATGGGCAGAGGACCTGAGACACTTCTCCCAAGAAAACATACAAATGACCAACAGATCTATAAAACGATGCTCAACTTTACTAGCTGTCAAAGAAATGCAAATCAAAGCTACAATGAGATACCACTTCACACCTGTTAGAATGGCTATTATCAACAAGACAAACAATAACAAGTATTGGAGAAGTTGTGGAGAAAAAGGAACCCTCATTCACTGCTGGTGGGAATGTAAACTGGTACAACCACTATAGAAAACAGTACAGAAGTTCCTCAAAAAATTAAAAATAGAGTTACCATATGATCCAGCAACCCCTCTTCTGGGGGTCTACCTGAAAATTTTGAAAATATTTATTCATAAAGATATTGCACCCTATGTTCACTGCAGCAAATTCACAGTGGCCAAGACGCAGAAACAAACCAAAGTGTCCCTTGATAGAAGATTGGATAAAGATGTCATACATATGTACAATGGAGAACTACTCAGCCATAAAAAGATGAAAGACTGCCATTTGCAACAACATGGATAGATCTTGAGAATATCATGAGAAGTGAGATGGCAAAAGTCATGGACCATATGGTTTCACTCACATGTGGGATATAACATTGAAAGCAACAAATAAACAAGACAGACAAACAAACAAAAACTCACAGACACAGACTACAGTATGGTGGTCCCCAGAGGGAAGGGGGTGGGGGAAGGGAAAGGGGGTCAAATATATGGTGACAGAAAGAGATATAACTTTGGGTGGTAAACACACTATGTAATACACAGGTGATGTATCATACAACTGTAACCTATATAAATTTATTAACCAATTTATTAACAACATAAACTTATTAACCAATGTCACCCTAATACATTTAATTTTAAAAACTCTCTTAAATCTGTTTTAAAATAGCATTAAAATAAAACAAAGAAAAGAATAAAGCACCTCACATTCACAGCTCTGAATATATACCACAGTTGATTCTGATATTTTCAGCAACTGATTTAAATCTCCCCCCCTCAAAAAAACCCAACGGACTAGAAAACAGTTCCAAGAACAGAGTACCACCCAGGAATCAAAACATTCCATTTCTTGCTTATGTCGTCTCATACTACACCTTAAGTTTATTTTAGAATATTTTTAGCTATGTCCTCGTCCCTCCTTGGCCGTCCTGGCTTGCTGAATGTTAGAAAGAGAGAGACTATGATTCAGACATTTCAAAAGAAAAAGAAGAAATTTGGTCTGAGGTTTATGTACCTAACAAGAAACCACAACAGGCACCACTTAGGCTGTGCAGGGAAGTGGGCATGAGCGTGGGCTCCAGAGTAGGGCCCTGGGTGGAACCCCAGCTGCAGTGCACTGGTAAAATACTCAACCTCTAAGCTCTGGGTTTCTCACCACAACTGTAGGAATAATAACAGCAGTGACAATTAAATGAGATCAGGCACTTAATTTAATGCGTAGCTCAAAACAAGTCTATAATAAATGGTAACTATTCTATTACTCATTTAACAAAAATGTACCTACTGTCCTATCTAGCATGAATTTTTGTGTACTCTGTTGGCTGTCACTTAATCTTGGAGTAACTAGTTTCAGAACACAGAACTACCTGTGGCTACCACCCTCTGGGCACTAAACAGGAGGGCGTTCATTATACCTGTCTTCTGAGTGATCTCCCAGTGAACAGGGACTACAGGGACCCATGCGGGCCACCCACCTTCTTCCCCAGCATCCACAATCACACAAAGCAGGAGAAAAAGATTGTGAAATGCAGAGGAATGTAAGTTCCAGGCAAGTGGGAGGCAGACATTTACTTTACTTGGCTCTGATTGCCTTTTGACATCATAGTAAAAAGCTCTGAGGGAAGTTTCTCAGATTGGTTGCAAATGACCACATGGTATTTATTAAATGGTCACATCATATGTTAGTGCCTGCTTATGTACAGCACTGTCTAGAAAAACCAGGGGAGGCAGAGTATACGCCTGCGGGTGTGTACGGGGCCTCAGGTTTCCTCGGTAGCCTCTAGCACTTTTTGATCAGGAGAGTAAAAGTTAAAGGTAATCTGATTAACAAACGAGAAAAGAGAAGATGTGTGTGTACACATGTGTACATGTGTAATGCTCTAGCTGCTTATGATTTAGAAAGGATTCTAGCCAACTTTATTTTAGGCATTAACTTTGTTCCTCTGGGGAGAAAAACAATCTCAGTTGTGCTAGCCAAATGAGGTTGGTGCTGGCTTCAGCCAACAAAATCCCATAAGAAGAAGTACTCAGAAAAAAGTATTGTGTTTTCATCGACTTTTACGATGGCTATGCCATTACAGAGGGCACTCACTACTAAATGTAGAAAAACAAAGGTGGCTTTGCAAGCTCTATGACTCAAGCACAGTGAGTGACAAATTCAGGGTCTAATTAAAAGTTCTTTTCAGGTAGCTGTAAACACATGGTCTAAAACCCCTAACTAATGAAAAGTTTCATGTTACAGTTTAGGGAAGGCCTGTGTAGAAAAGTGGGCCAGAGAAACACAGAAACAAACGTCTAATCTTCCTTCCCAGAGACAAAGAGATAGGAAACATTTTTAAAGCACTGTTCTAATGTAATGGGGCTGAAAGTCGGACCTCCCAACAAAAAGATTACCTGTGAATCCTGGTGAGCAGACGCAACGATAACGATTAACTCCGTCCATACAGACTCCATGGACACAAGGGTTACTTGCACAGTCATCAAAATTGATTTCACAATTAATACCTGCAAAGATAAAAGCAAAGAGGAACCATGCACTGTGACCACAGAAACACCAAGGATGTCTGCTTGCGATGCTAGGTGTTAGGAAAGCTAGAGTATCCAGCCAGCCACGGGCAAAGCAGCAATCTACAAGTGCAGCCGTCCAGACCCTGCCAGCGGGATCATGAGGGCAAGTGGATCTTATTCACTGAACTAAGCCCGTTTGCCTTTTCCACTGTGCTGGTGTTTGCATTCATGTGCGAAAGCCACGGCGCAGGACTCCTAGCATCGTAGCAGGAGTCACATCAGGGCCACTGCACTGCAGGGGTGGGCACTGTATGCTTCACCTCCAAGCACTCACAGAAAAAAACCAGACAAAGGTTCACTTAGGAATGACTTTGGTGAAGTAGTCAAAATTACCAACTTCATCCTTTCATTACATCGTGACCCCTGACTATACATACTCCCGCCGTTGAAAGAGGAAATCCATAAGGAACTCTGTGGCAGGCCAAAGTACAGAGCTGTCTCCAGGAAAAGCAGTTGTGAGATTGTTTGAGTTCTGAACTGAAACAGTTGCTTTTTACATGGAATCCTATTTTCATTACAACTGAAGACAAACCAGGGCTGTTCAGACCTAACTATTTAGTTCACATTAAGTGGAAAAAACAAACAAACAACAAAACCCTGATAGTATTATACTCCAAAGATAAAATTTAAGCTTTCACATGAAAATTAGAATTTTGGAACTTGTATCCAACTACCATAAACTTTAAACTGACAGTCATTATTCTAGGCTAAGCTCAGGATAAATTTTAAAGAGTCTGGTAACTTCCTTGTGGAGTATGCTGCCTTCCTCCTGGTCTATTCCCAGAATAAACTGTAGAGTTTGGCTATGTTAAGAAAGGTTTAACTAAACACATGGGTAACAAAACAGTGGAGATACACCAATCACTATTGTTAGCATCATTTGGTAAAAATACTCAAGCTATTTCATGATTTATTTAACATGAATTTAGTGATGCTTTTTGGGTATCGTAAAATACCTTGGTAGGTTAAGCCCTGGCCAGTTTGGCTCAGCGGTTAGAGCGTCGGCCTGCGGTCCTGGGAGACCCGGGTTCGGTTCCCGCTAAGGGCACGTACTTCGGTTGCAGTTTGTCCCCGGCCCTGGTTGGTCGTGCGGGTGGCAGCCACTCGATGTGTCCCTTCCCGTCGATGTTTCTCTCTCTCTCTCTCCCTTCCTCTCTCTCCCTCCCACTCTATCTGTACAAAAAATGGAAAAATATCCTCGGGTGAGGATAAAAAATAAATAAATAAAATAAATAAAATACCTTGGTAGGTTAAAAAGCCTAAAAAAATAAAGCCTGGTAATAAAGGATTATAAACTAACAAATAAAATTTCCATGACAAAATGCCATAATATTGATATACTTTGTATTAATATTTATTAACAATACTTACATCAAAAATTTATTGAGCCATTATTATGTGTAAAGTACTCTGCCTCCCACTTTATGCAACTTTTCTCTAATCTTCTTACTCAACCCCCAAATCAAGTTGTGCTACACCTATTTTAGCACGACTTGTACACTCACAGCAGCACAATGGGACCTGAACCTGGCTCTCTGGACCCTGTTCTTCACCACACTGTACTGGTCATTGTGAGCAATGAGGCTATACTGCCTCTCTACTCACAAAGGAGGCAAGGGTTTCCACAGTCCTTGTATACAAGTGAGTACCTTTATTTTTTTTATTTTTATTAATTAATTAATTTATTTTTGTTACAGATGTTTCTCCTTTTCCCCCCACTGATTCCCCCTCCCCCTCCCTCCTCATCCTGTCCCCAGCTTTGTTGTCCATGTCCATTGTTCATGCATACATGCATATAAGTTCTGTGGTTTATCTCTCCCCCACCATCCCCTCTTTTGGGGATTGTCAGTCTGTACCCCACTTCCACATCTCTGGGACTACCCCATTCCTCAGACTGTTACGTTCATTATATTCCACAGATAAGTGAGATCATATGATCAAGTGGGTACCTTTAAAGCAGCAGTTCTCAACCTGTGGGTTGCAACCCCTTTGGGGGTCGAATGACCCTTTCACAGGGGTCGCCTAAGATATAACAGTAGCAAAATTACAGTTATGAAGTAGCAACGAAAATAATTTTATGGTTGGGGGTCACCACAACATGAGGAACTGTATTAAAGGGTCGCGGCATCAGGAAGGTTGAGAGCCACTGCTTTAAAGGATGGGGCCAGCCCTTGACTGACAACTGCCAATACCCCCATCAGACCATTAGACCAAGCAGGCCCTGGAAAGCCAGGTGGTCCAGGGCGACTCAGCCCCCAACACCATGTTCTGTTTGGGCAGGAAGAAACACGCGGCCCAGGGGGCCAATGAGACCTCCTCAGTGGAATAGAGCACTGTGGCTCATCTGCAGATGGCCCTGCTTCCTGCTCGTCTCTGCAAAGCTTACTGTCCCAAACTCACCTGAAATCCGTAAGAAGCTCTTTTGTGCTTTCACTAAATTCTTTCTACTTGTGTCATTGTTGTTTGCTTGCTTGTTAACAATTCTTTAAGCTAGTCAAATTGGAGTCTGTGACTTCACACCAAAAATAACTTACTTAAAGCCACGTCCCTCATGAGACGGGTGAAAGAAGTGATTCTGGCTCATCTGCCCACTCAGTGCCCAGTGAGAACCAGCAAACTGTGAAGAGGCCCTTCTGTCTACACACTCCTCCAAACCTCGACCGACCAACCAGGACCACACCTGAATGGGTCCTGGGCTCTCACTCTAGAACGCCGGAGTCCACTCATGACGATCAACTGGACAAAGCCTTTCCCCAGGGCCCTACGGCCAGGCCTCCCTCCACCCGTACCGGATTCCTTGATGTGGCTGCGTCTCTGCCAGCTCTCCTGACAGCCACGGGAGTACGCTGGGCCTTCCTCCTCTGTGCTGCTGGCACACCACTCCCACTCCCTTCTCGCTTTCTCCGTGACAGCTACTTACACCTTGCCTTCGCCGTCCTCCCCAGGGAGCACACCTGATACATCCTGCCACGTGATACAATCGCAGAGAGAACAGGGCGCTCGCTAACCCACCGCTCACCCAGGTTCCCAGTGCGCCTGTTACAATGGAAACGATAGCAAGGCCTGAAACAGCCCCGCCATTCTAAAGCATCCATTCAACTGCTTGTAAATCTCTCAAATTTCTTTTCGTACTGCAATTTCTCATGTCTGGGGACCAGCCCGGAAGCAAATTGCTTTTGGAAGGTTTCACAAAGATCTATTCAGCCCCGCTAGTGAGTTATCTAAATGTGGGGAGGGGGAAGGCATTTTCAACTGTGAAGGCATGGGATGTTTTTCATATGCTTGAGCAACTCAAAAAGGACTTTGTTTTCAAACTTGGCATGTAGAGGTCCTGGACGAAGCCCAGGGCCCTTGACAAGTTTGAAGGAATGCGTTTGGAAATAACAAAATAAAATGAGGGCAGCTAACCACCTCCCCCACCTTTGCCCCCTACCTAGGCCCTTTTCCTTAAATTGAGAGTGAGTTCTCAATAAATCACTCCGTTGTACTGGCAGGTTCCCGTCTAACAAAGGCTCACACTAGTTAATCTTCCACTAATACATTTTCCTTTGATCTGAGACATAGTACTTCTCTGTCCATTAACCACAGTTGTGACCATAATTATTCCTCGAATAAGTAAAACAGAATCCAGTGAAACCTGTGAAATGCTGCTGCCTGAGAAAATAATTCAACATTCCCCCAGCAAGGAGCAGCATGCCCTCACAACTAACAAACAGTCATTCACCGGAGTCAGGAAACGGCAGTGAGCCCGGTGAGAAACGGTGGCTCTGCATCCTAATTCCCGACGACCGGGGTGCTGCAGTCTCTCCTCTCCCTCACGATCCCCGCCATCGCCCAAAGCCCACCACACACAGACGGCAGGGGGAAAGTGTCACATTAAACACACTGGACTCTGAAACAGAGAGAAAACTCCTGGAAAGACAGAAGGGAGGGAGGGTGAAGAAAGGGGGTTGGGGAGGAACAACCTTATTCGCCTGTGGTGGAGGTTCTAGGCAAAAGACAATAAAAATCAAGCCACAGAAGCAAGGTTTTCCATTTTAAATCACGTTCCAGCTGTTCTGAAGTGGTATGCCTCCTTTTAGGGACAGCACATACATACAGTCACCAGCTCTGTAAAGCTGTTGTCTTTAATCTCTTCCCTGGCTGCAGCCATCTCCCTCTGAGACGTTTCTGGCTGCGGCTTTGGCTGTGCTTCTCCGAAAAAGAACTGTTTCTGAGGCGTGGAAGCATATGCCAAGACAGGCTGAGACATCTGTGTAACTGCCTAAGCAGCAGCGAGACCTCCAGGAAAACAGACAGCAGGCTTACCTGACGTGCCCGGCTGGCAGTTGCACTGATAGCCGTTCACCAGGTCGATGCAGCGGCCCTCGTTCAGGCAGGGGCTGCTGAGACACTCATCCACCTGGTCGCTGCAGATGGCGCCCATGTACCCCGGGTTGCAGATGCAGGTGTAGGAATCAATCCCGTCCTGACACTGGCCATGATGGCAGGGATCGGGGTCGCAGTTGTCGATGTTCTCCTCACACAACACGCCAGTGAATCCTTAGAAGGAATTTTACCAACGAGGCTTAAAAACTGAGGCAGAAATTCCACACACGAACATAACTGTAGCCACCTCTACGTATCCTACCCCTCCCAGGCCTTCCTTCATTCTGCAGGACTGAGCTGTTGAAAGTATCTGCATTGATTCATAAGGCAGGCCTAGAGAGCTGTGCGTAAAAGAAAGTTCTTCAAATAAAATGTGTAGAATTCAAACACCGTTCCCTAAGTGATCGATGTTGTCATGGCAGAGATGCTTCGACTGCACCTTCGTCCCACACCGGGCTTCAGTGGGGAACAGCTCTCGGTACCTTCCCTGCATATGTTTACATCTATGTTCCCTTCCTCCCAAACCTAATACACAGGGACTGTGTTAATGGTTCCATGGACCTTATCTTCCCAATTCTGACTTCAAAGAACAAAGAACTTTTCTTCATTCTTCTCAACTGCTCCCAGAGTACTATGCATAAATAGTAAGTTTTCAATAAATACTTGTTTGAACAAGTTACAAGCATTTATATGAAATTGGGACAAATAAAAACTCCTTCATGCGACATTAATCTTCTCCCTCTTCAACAAGACTTCAAGGTTCTTCACCTCTCTCCTAGGAAGGTCACTCTCTGTGAGCATAACCCTGCCAGAGGAGGGCAGAACCTGGAACTTCTCCAACCAGAGACTAGTTCCTGAAGAGAGAGGGAAGGTAAGTGGTTCCTCTGACAGGACCTATCTAAGTAGGCTTAATGAGTGGTAGTGTTCTACTAGTACTGAAATATTAATTGTGTATTTCCGTGACATAGTTTGCTTTACTGTGATCAGAAAAAAATGCACATAATGTTTCAAAGTCTTTAAGTCTTGGCTGGTTTGGTTCAGCGGTTAGAGCATTGGCCCATGGACCGAAAGTCACAGGTTCCATTCAGGTCAAGGGCACGTACTGGGGTTGCAGGTTCAATCCCAGCCCCAGTCAGGGTCATGTAGGAGGCAACCAATCAATGTGAGTCTCTCACGTCAGTGTTTCTTTTTCTCTCTCCCTCTCCCTCTCAGCCACCTCCCTTCCACTCTCTCTTAAAAAAAAAAAAAGGAAAAATATTCTGGGGTGAGGATTAATAAAAACAACAAAATTATGTAAGAACTCATTTTCTAAAATAAAAAACAATGTCTTGAATTATATTCCTACCTTCTTTCGCTCTTAAACAGTGGGATAAAAAAGAAATGGGAAAATCATATTTTCTAATCATTTCTAGTCCATTTCTACCATATTGGTCTGGGCAGAAGCAGATATGTAATAGGGGACGTCTGGCTTCGTTGGATCACTCCAAAATGAGAAATGTGGCCACAGATCAGAAACGAGAGCACTTATAAACAGATTCTTTCTCCCTCTAGTAGCAGAACTCAGGAGAGCGCTCAGGCCCCCAGACGGAGCTCTCGCACCTGTTCTGAGAAACACCCGACTCCCCATGCGTGTCCTCCCGGCAGGGGTCCTCTGCCCTGACAACAGCCCCGAGGTCCCTGGGCCTGGCTCACGAAACCCAGCAACCAGCCTCCTGCTGAGAGGCCCCAGTGAAAAATAGCTTTCAACTGGAATTCTTCCCTTTCCCAAAGGAGTACGTCAAGCCAGCTGGACACTCGCTGCTGCCAAAGTCTGTCCCAGAGAGCCATGGACACCAAATGGAAATGTCCAGGCCAGGCCACGGTTGTGGTGGAGAAGGCGGCAGGTGTTGCGAAGGAAACAGTGAGAGCAGAAAAAATACGCTGGGACAGGATGTCTCCAAACAGCACCGCCCCTTCCAGTGGCCTGGCCTGGAGGGCAGCTGGAGGAGGGCAGTCTCCTGTTCTGTTCAGGTGGACCCCCCAGGAGGGTAAACGGAGGAAACCTCACCTGTGGCACACTGGCATTCATAGCCATTCGGGTGATCGATGCACTTGGCCCCGTTCAGACACGGAGTGCTGGAGCAGTCATCAATGTCAATCTGGCAAACGGGCCCCGTGAAACCTTGAAAGGGACAGTGATGACAGGAGTCACAGGACTATCCTATGTCTGCCTTCGCTCTGGGAACGATGCCTGAGAAGTGCTGGGTTCAGTTCCTGGCAGGGCTTATACCAAAGGGTCAGCAAGAGTAAAATTATTCTCCCCGGTAGGTAGCGAGGATACTTGGGTGAAGCTCAAGGCACCCGAGGCACCTGTGTGTGTCTCCACCTGTTTCTTCCCCACATACACTTCCCTTCTAGTTCAGACAGGGACGGAACGGTTGTAGGTGAAGCTCTCCAACAAGCAAGGGCAGTGTCGGAGGAGCAGGGAGCGTCTCTCCGAAACGACGAGAGGTGCTACAGCGATGGCAGACAATCTGGCACGTCTTCACCAGCTTCAGGGAGCAAGGACGGCAGAGCACTCTCTGGAAAGAATGTCTTGTGTTGTCTGTTTTTGGACTCAGAGGTGAAATGTCTAAAAATAATAATCTCAGCCATGGGCTTCAAGACTAATAACCAATGGGAGGCAAGTAAAATCCTGAATAGCCTAAAACTAAGTCCTCTGTGAGATATGAATTTTCTGAAATATATACACAGACAGAGAGGTCATGGGTCTTTCAGAACAGACTTGGACTTCTGGCCACAAAGGATTTGAAAGACACACTAGCTGAAACAAATTCCCCATTTCTGTACACACTCTCCTACCCTGACGTGCTCACTTTAATGACTTCCTCATGCAGAGCCCACACACATTCTCTCCCTCCTCCCCTCTCCTCCCTGTGTCAGTCAGCTCTGCGCTTTCAGAGATAACAGGCGCAGGTGGTGGGCACTTACCAGGCGGACACAGACACTGGAAGCGATTGACTTTATCCACACACCGCCCATTGTTCACACAGGGGTTGCTCTGACACTCGTTTATCTCCAATTCACAATGCACACCTTTGAAACCTGAACAAAACGAACCACACAAGTGGCTTAGAGAGAAAGTATATTCCAGCCAAGAAAGCACAAACTCACAAAGATGACTATATCCTCTATGAACACCAACATTTCTGCAGAGCACCAGGGGACTATGCCATGATAGTGACAGATCACACAGGGGACTCCTCTGGGATATTGTGTCACTGTGAAGAGGTTACCTCCAAAGACACTGGTAACACCTAACATGCCAACAAAGACTGGGCCACATTCTCTGACCAGTCCAGGCTTTGCTTTCAGGACAGCCCCAGGCCCAGGGGATCCCCACTACTGGTTCCTAAAGACCAGCTGAGTCAGAGATGCTGTTGCTCTCAGGGTGCAGGTCAAGGTCAGGAGGGCCACCCACGGCTCGAGTGACTCGCATCCTTAATGGGGCAAGCAGCCGCTGTCAACGTTCCTTGTGAGCTGCTCTAGCTGTGCTCTCTGACAAGTCAAGAAACAGTCTCTGCAGAAGAGCTCCAAAGTACAACCAGTCATCATGTGACATCGCCAAGGATAAATGGCAGGTTCTTACATAATTATGGGTAAAATGTATTTCTTTAAATGGAACGGCATGATATTTGTAATGCATAAGGGAATCAGATAAGCTTGCTATTTAAAGGATTCTTATGGTGAATACTTTATTAATAAATACTTGCATAAATACATTCACTTCTGAAATTCTCTCTCACATGTATCTGAGTTTTGATATAATGGGCTTGTTCGGCTGGGTCTCCACAGCTCTAAGGGCTCGAGCACTGGCTCACTCCTTGAGGGCCCTCGGCTGGAGCCCGCCATCGCTGGCAGGGCTCATGGAGTGGCCGCACCGCCTGAGTGCTTCAGCTAAGAGAAGCGCAGTGTGGTGCCTCCTGTCTAGACCACACGGGTGGGCCCCAGTACCTGGCATGCACAGACACGTGAAGCCTCCAATCTTATCCAGGCAGGTGGCATCGTTCTGGCAGGGGTCCGAATGGCACTCGTTGATGTCCATCTCGCAACGAGGCCCTGCATAGCCCTTCAGACACTCACAGTGGAAAGCGCCGTCTGTGTTCACGCATTTTCCTGCATGCTCGCAAGGGTTGCTATTGGCTGAAAGACACAAGACCCAATCCCCAGGATCAAAGCGATGGAGTTTCCACAAGTGCGGACGACAGAGGTGGGACTGACCGTTACAAATGTTAGGGCCAGGCATTCAACAGTCTGGTCCTCAAAGTCCTGTTTTCTTGTTAACAAATCAAAAATGACTAAGACTAAGCAACCTCATTCTCATGTGTCTCTGCTGCTCTTTTGTCCAAACTGTCTCTGAGGCTGGGCTTTACATTAAGAATCAAGTACCGACCGTCCATGTATTTCAATTCCCAGAAAAAAATATATGATTACGCTGAAAGGAGAGTTGGAAACAGGGGGCAAGTAACAGACGGGAGGTTGGGGAAACATGCTCCCAGAGTAAAATGCACTTCAGGTTAAATGCTTGCCGAGCTCAACTGATGCAGGAGGAAGAGGAAAGGTCCGTAAACTCACCCATGGTACACTCGTCCACGTCTTCTGTACAGTCAGCCCCTTTGTAGCCCTGCGGGCAGGTACAAATATACTGCCCATTCAGGGGGTTGGTGTCACACAGTGCCCCCTTGTGGCAAGGATTGCTGATGCATGCATCATCCAGATGACACAAGAGACCTGTCACAGAACAAAGAGAAAATGTCTCTACTTGGGGAAGAGTTGTCTCTTTCATGGAGGAGGAAAAACCTCACATTGTCTCACCAAAATGCACTATGGAGATTGAGAAAACTTCCCCTTGGCTAATTGTCCCTCAGGAACATGCTGCCAAGTAAGGAGCTTCTCTAGACAACCCTGGTGTCCTTGACCCTGAGCCCTGAGCTAGACCTCTCCTCAGGGCAGAGTTTTCTACAGGCCATAAAGTGAGATGGTTCGATGACAGAGACAGGAAAATGGTGATAGGCTTCCTACAAAACTGCCAAACTGAGCAAACAAAAAGACAGGATACCCAGTTCAACAGTAATTTCAGAGAATATTCTACTATATGTCCAAAATACTGCATGCATCCTGTATTTTATTTGGCAACCTTCTTCCCAAAATCATGCTACCTGGTGATCATGGAGGCATTAGCATTTCACTAGCCTCAGAAGGAAAAAATAACACAAGAAACAGCTGAGCATCATCAGCCTGTGCTTGGGCAGCCTTTTAAGAGTGCCAACATTCCTGGCTCCAGGGCCCTCAGGACGCTGAAGATATCAGCAGGCCCCGTGTTCTACATAGTTCACATGGGAACGGGATTTTCCACTCTGCAATTAGGTTAAGAACAGGTAGCTACGCTTCTTCTACAAAGCTGGAGGCGGGCCTCTTGGAAAGGCACAGCTACAAGAACACTGAACAACTGCTAGGCACAGAGTTCTCTCACCTGCACTGCCTTCTTCCACGACATTCCTGCACTCACTGCTTTCTACTCCGGGAACCAGAAGCTGTTAACTCCGAGTCAGTAAAATCCCCCCTTAGAGGACTGGTTCTGTAGACACTGAGAGCTGGAATGCACTTAAATGCTCTGTCCTGCCAACTCCTTCTGAGTCAGTGGGCTATTTCTTCTTAATATGGAGTCCCTACATCCATTTATTAGTAATTTTGTCTTAATTTCTGAAGTGCTTTTCAGCCTACGATCTTAAGGAGGTCAACAGATGCTCCCAAGGCAGTAGTGACTAACTTTCATTTTTTTAGGATGAAAATCTGAGGTGCACAGAGTTAAGATGAGAGCCACAAGTGATAAAGAAAAAGACTGACTTCATAGCACTTTGGCTAGAGATTACATTTCCAGAACATTCTTGAGTGACATGTTCCTACCGACGGTAATTAAAAGGACACAGTTACCAGAATGGAAGAGAAGAAGGCAGAAATCCTGACTGCTCGCGGCCCCTCTCTCCCCCAGCTCTGGCCTTCTGCTGGCCTTACCTGTCTTCCCTTCTGGGCACATGCAGGAGAAGGAGGCCACGCGGTCAATGCAGGTGGAGCCTGGAGTGCAGGAGGCGAAGGCACAGTCATCGATGTTCTCACTGCAGTCGTCTCCGCTCCAGCCATTGACGCACACACAGCCATAGCCTCCCTTGTGGTTGGTGCAGGTGCCCCCATTCTGACAGGCGTTGGGCTGCAGCAGGCACTCGTCCACATCCTCCGTGCAGAACTGCCCTTTGGGGGGAAGTGCCTTTGATTAGGGCTCTTAGGTCTCGAAGGATTAGTACCATACCAGCCCCCACATATCCTTCACCCTAATGTGACTGGCCTGGAATTAAGCCAAGCAGACTCACGGCAGATCAGGTTCTCTCATGAATTTTAAGGCCACCTTAAGCCATCCAAATGATATCTAGTCTAGGCAAATGATTGATTTATTTATTTTTCTTTATTGACTTTAGAGAGACAGGAAGGGAGAGGGAGAGAGACAGAAACATTGATGAGAAAGAACATCGACTGGCTGCCTCCTGCATGCCCCACGCAGGGATTGGGCCCAAAACCTGGGCATGTGCCCTGAACAGGAATCAAACCAGCGATCTCTTGGTGCATGGGTTGATGCTCAACCACTGAGCCACACCGGCCAGGCAATTCTAGGCAAATGATTTAAAGGAAAAAATGGGAGTTGCTACCCCTAGAAACTCTGACAACATGAGAATTTAGCCAAGCTATCAAAGAGAAGATAAATCTTTTAGGATTCTTGATTCAGTTAAATCCCTGGGACAATGAATATATAACTGAGAAGAGCAAGGAGAGAAGAGTCTAAGAGGTGAGTTAAGAAAAAGAATAATGAGAAGGAATGTAAAAGTCAAAATGTTATGGCAATGGCTCTGTATCTTGACAATCAACGTCAATAACCTGGTTATAATACTGAACAATGATATGCCAGATGATGTTACCACTGAGGGAGACTTAGTAAAGGGTATTAATACTTATCGCTGCATGTGCAATTACAATGATCTCCAAATAAGAAGTTTAATTTAAAAATGAAGGTAAGTGCAAGAAAATGTAGAGAGAAAAGATTAAGGACAATAAAAGCCTTGGTAAAATATGGAAAAACAAAGCCAAAACAAGGAGACTGAAGCAAACTGTGCTCAACCTGAGGCACCCAAGCTTCACAGATGTGGAATTGTGGACTAAAGACCCAATGTAGTAAAAGATGGAAAAAGGATCAGTATGCTCTGCCTGAAAAAGAGCAAACTGAAGGATGATAAACATGAGGCCATTTGTGGACTCGCTGCAGGTCACTACAATAGCAATGGATGGGGGACTAGGGCAAAGGCTCTCGGACCCATGACAAGGAACAAGAGTATGTCTTCAACTTACACAAAAGAAATTTGTGATTAACAAGCAGTTCAGTGCCAGGCCCGCTAAATTGTATAAGAAGTTGATGAACTGATCTTATTGGAGGTCGTTTAATACCAGTTTAGAGAGCTAGCAAAAGGCACTAATATTCAGGTCATTTGAATTCTCTAAAACACAATACAACAGGTGGCTAAAACTAAAAAAAACAAAAAACAAAAAACCCTGAAGATGTCCTTCTTTCTCTTTGTAAAATAACTCAATGAATAATTCAAAAGGTATTCCGATGAAGGGACCTCTTAATGAAAAAGCACATGATGCTCACTTAAACTCAGAAAATGCCGAGGCTACCCCTAGTCCCCAAAATACCTAACAGTAATTCAATCAGTTCCGGTACTTTCAGGAAGCCTGCAATGCACCCAGCTGTGCAGCCATCACTGCTAGCAGAAGCTCGCTGTGTCAGATCTAACCTAACTGAACACCCGTTCTTTACCTCCATTATGACACTATACTTTACACTCACTACTGCACCCAGTATTACAAAACCAACATCACTCTATTCCACTTATTTAATTGCACAGCTATCTCCCATCACTTGGTTGCAATCAACAACCCCTCGGTTCAGGAGTATTTTTTTTTTTTTTTTTTTTTGCATCCCCATCTAAGATCCCACTGCCTAGGATGACAGGACAAGTGTGTGGGCATCTCCGGAACAATGTGCTCAGCACACCCCTTCTGTGCTCCTCTCCTCATCCCATTTCATCACTGTAATTCTTGAAGGAGCCACCGTGTCTTTACATGATCATGCCCTTCTGGGCATAACTGACTGATATAGGATGGGCATTTCATACAAGTTACCCATCCCTGTGTCTCTTTCCAAACTTTTGGACAAGGGACCCTTTGCCACATGGACCAAAAGGATGAAGGGGCCAGTCAACAAAGAAAATAAGAGGAGCAAATCGGACGTGCGTAGGAGAAAAAGACTCGTGGTGCATTCAAGGTCATGGTTCCACTGTTCCTGAAACCCAACTGCCCTGAACCCTTTCAGGAGCACAACTGTTCTGAAAGATGTCCCTCGCAGTGGGTTTCCCTAACTTCAGATAAGGATCTGTCAGCTGCAATCCATAGTATTAACTAATGCAGAGCGAGGGAGTGCTGAGGAACCCGAATGAATGAGTGAGTTGAGGTGCGTGAGTGTGTGAGTTGCATGAGTGAGTGCAAGCATTGGCAATGACTTCCCCCTGGGAAGATGATGTAATTTATCACAGAAAGCTTTGCTCCCTCACTGCACTGACAGGCATGCTACCTTCGATACAGAGAGATGTGTAATTAGGATACAGGTGGGATTTAGAAATAAAAACATGACCAAGAAGTAGGTAAAGAGTTGCTGTAACCGGGAATTACTGAGAATCTTGTCTCTTACACTTATGCTAACTTAAATATCTATGCTACCCTCAAACTAAAATGACTTGCTGAATGTGAGCAATTTGGATGTTATTCTTCTTTTTTACTAGCTCTGTGATAATTCTGAATATAAGACACTGTGTTTAAAAATATCTCATGTATTCCTTATGCATTATAATAACCAGACACTTAAATATTGTAATAAGACAGACTAGGTAAATAAACAGAGCTTGGAATGCAAGTTTGGCACTCTTGGGAAAGAAAATCAAAAGTCACTGATTGGCCCTGGCTGGTTTGGCTCAATGGTTAGAGCACTGGCCCATGGACCAGAGAAGCCCGGATTTGGTTCCCGCTAAGGGCACGTACCTTGGTTGAGGTTTGTTCCCGGACCCATTTGGGGTCGTGTGGGTGGCAAACACTCGATGTGTCTCTCTCACATCAATGTTTCTCTCTCTCTCTTCCTCCTTCTCTCCCTTCCACTCTATATCTCAAGATAAAGTGCAAAAATGTCCTCGGGTGAGAATAAAAAAAAAAGTCACTAATTGCCTATGATGAGGCAGGCACTGCACTTGAGTTGTAACAAAAATTATGTCATTTATAGTTGAGGAATCAGGCTCAGAGAATTACAATAACTTGCCTAGTGTGAAGTTTTCTGTAATCAAGGAGAGCTGGGATTTGAACTAGAGCCACCTGCTCTAAAATTCCTAACAAAGACGAGATGTGAATCTCACCTTGTCAGAAGCAGCTCTGCGTGTCTCAGGTTCCCAAGCACACAAAGGCAAGGGGAAGTGGAGAGGATGAAAGTGAGCATTAGAATCATGACTCACACAATCCGATTACTTGAAAACTTATGAGTGCAAATTACTATCCAAATATTAAATGTACTTTGGGTATAGTTCACTATTTTTAATGAGATTTATTTTTGAAGATTAAATACCATCACTGAAGACCTTAGGACTGCATATCTGTTAGATACTGCTCAATAGAAAGATCAAATCTACAGCCAAGAGCACACTGACTTGTCAGAATTCTCCAGAATGGATCCTTTTTTTTAAAGTTTCAGGCACATTTCTCCAGAACAACATTCCTTCTCAAGCTCATTTCACCCAGATTTTTTTTCTCCTCCTAACTCCAATTCTATCAACCAGTTTTTAAATTCAGAAGGTAGAAAACAGTAACCCAGTGGTTACTCCAGTTACTTGTTCAAAAATTCCCATGGGACATCTACTGAGATACTGTGTTTCCTTAATGTTACCACCCTTTTGGCACAGGAGGAAACCAACGCAGAAGCCTAAAAATAAGAAGCAAGGCTCAGAAAGGTAAGGTAACCTTTCCAAGGTCATAATACAGTAAGTGAGCATGTCATTCAAAGCCAGATCAGTCTGATTCTAACTCTACTGCTTTCTGCACTAAGCACAGATAAGTATCCAGTCCTGGATTTGATCAGCAAGATCTACAAACTAGGTCCCTGATCCTAGAGTTCTAAAGCACAGAGAAGGCATAGAAGCTCGAGACAATTAAAGAACACCCTTGTTAGAAATGAATACAGGAAGAAGGTCACTAAATACTGAAGTAGAAAAGGTTCTTGATGATCATCTGGAAGGGTTGGGTGCATTTAGATCATTTACCTTTTCCTACTACATCCTGGGCTGGAGGGAGGTGCTCATGAAGGCTGGTACAGTTAAGTCTTGAAGATCATCAAAACAACTGATGTGTATTTTTTGGCTGGGATTTAAAAGGAGAAGGTTGGCCCTGGCCAGTGTGGCTCAGCTGGAACATCATCTTGTATATTGAAAGCTGCAGGTTCTATCTCCAGTCAGGGCACACAGTGAAGGCAACCAATCCATGTTCTCGTTCTCTCATTCTCTTTCTCTCTCTTCTCCCTCCTCCCTCCCTCTAAAATCAATGGGTATATCCTTGGGTGAGGATTAAATGAATGAATGAATGAATAAATTAATAAAAGGAAGAAGTTTGGAGGTCATCTGAAGCTTTGAATTCAACTATGGATTCTGAACTGGATACAAGCAAAGGGAGTTATCATAGGTCCATGGGTGGGAGAAGACAGGGTCAAATTGCCTTTGAAGATTAGTCTGCCAGTAGAATATAGGAGGAACTAAAAGCAAAGGACTGACTGTTAATAGGGAAAGAAGGAGAGAGCACTAAGTTATGAGCTACCCAGCACATAAAAGCCTCTGGTGAAAAGGGAGAGCTGTGTTGTTTCCGTGCCTGACCACGCTACTAAATCTTCAATCCAAACAGTCTCAGCATGAATCATCATCTGTCTCCACACACAAACTCTGCTGGTGAACTCCAAAATATGCTGTACAAAGCTCAGTTGGGCAACTTTTTGAGGGCATCAATTACCCCTTAGTAATTTCACCTGCCAGATAAAAGAATAAGAAATCACTTGTTTTTAGAAATTACCTTCTCTGTTGCCACCACGAGTCTGGGCTAACTTGGAATGAAACTTCACA